GCGTCACGGTGCTTCTTCACCGCCGAGATGAGTTATGGCGAGTCTGCATTGAGCGACAACTGTTGAGCGTTCTGATTGGGCAGATTAATTCCCAAACACTAATGCACTCCTCTTTTATTACAGGACAGAATAAGACTGAATGTCATGATTACATAGTAGCAATAAAATAATTACAATAGAAAGAAAAAAAAACGATACAGCTTTAATTTAAAATTATCTTTATTTAGAGAATTTTATTTCCATTTACAACATTCATACTTTCCAAACATTGATAAATACAACATTGAATAAAACCAACAAGCGTACTGGACAACAGCTATTCTGAAGGTGAATCCCAAAAAGGAAGCTACATAGGCTGAATGTAATAAGTTTTTAGAAAAAAATATAAAATTCATTAAATATTTAAAAATTATTTTAACATTTTACAACGCTCTTCGTTTATTCTAACATAATGTAAAACTAGATGTCATGATTACTCAGGGGCCATGAAATAATTGCAATAGAAAGAAACATTAATTCTTTTGCATAGCTTTATTTGAAAATTATCTTCATTTGAGGAATAATATTCCATCTTCTACATACATACCATCTAAAGAGTCATAAATACAAATTGAATAAGAGCAACAAGCTTAGTGGACAACGGCAATTCTAAAAGTCAGCTCGAAGAGGAAGCTATATAGATTGTGTGTAATAAGTTTTTTAAAAACAATATGAACCTATATTTATTATTTACAATTTATCATTACATTCTATAATACTTCAATTTCTTTTATTCTACCTAAATGTAAAACTGCCTTTCATTATTACACAGAAGCTATAAAATAAACAGTAATAAAAAAACCTTAATTAAAGCAACAATCGTAATGAGCAACAGCAATTTTAAAGGTGGGTCTCAAAGAGGAAGCTACATAGGTTGTATGTAATAAGTTTTTAGAAAACAATATGAACTTTATTAAATATTTAAAAATTAGTTTAACATTTTACAACACTCTTCGTTTATTCTAACATAATGTAAAACTAGATGTCATGATTACTCAGGGGCCATGAAATAATTGCAATAGAAAGAAACATTAATTCTGTTGCATAGATTTATTTGAAATTTATTTTCATTTGAGGAATAATATTCCATCTTCTACATACATACCATCTAAAGAGTCATAAATACAAAATTGATTAAGAGCAACAAGCTTAGTGGACAACGGCAATTCTGAAAGTCCGCTCGAAGAGGAAGCTACATAGGTTGTATGTAATAAGTTTTAAGAAAACATGAGCTTTCATTAAATATATAAAAATTATTTTAAAATTCTACTACACTCTTCTTTTATTCTAACAGAATGTAAAAATATTGTCACGTCCCAGTGACGACTAATTTCGAACTTTGCTG